GTTGCTGCTGCTGCCGCTGCTGCTGCTGCTGCTGCTAGTGCTGCTGCTGTTGTTGGCGGATTTGTTGTATTTGCACAGATTTTTGTATACTGCAATTTCGTTGCTAATTAAATGATGCACTCACTCACCATTCGCCACTACACACACACAGATAAAACAGTTTCTCTATGCCTATATACGGGATTACTTATTGCGGAGTGGCGCGCACAAAAGCACAAAGAATTTGCCGATAAAACACAAACATAAATCAATGCGAGTTCATTTAAATGGTTAACACAGGCGCAAGCCACCAAATTATTTTTGTTCAATTAGAAGCGTGCTGCTGCCACTGCTGCTGCCGCTGCTGCTGCCGCTGCTGCTGCTGCTGCTTGTATTGCTGATGTTGAACTAATACCGATTCAGTTTCTGATTCCGGCCAGATAGAAGATAGTCACGATGTGGGCCAGCGGGGCGCTCAGTCAGTCGGTCAGTCGAGCGAGTCAAACATTCGAACAATTCTATATAATTTTTTTTTCTATTTTCTTTTCTTTTTTTTTTGTGTTTTGTTGTTGTGTGTGTGTTTGTGTGTGTGTGCGTGTGTGTGCTGCGTTTGTGTATCTGTATCTCTATATCTACAAAAATGGACGCGTTGCTTTCGTCGTTGCGCGCACTTTGCGCGTCGTGTGTCTATCAATTCTGCCAAAACTGAACTAAAACTCTCAAGTGTGCAAAAATCCTACATAAGTGAAGTATCGACGATGGCAGCCACAGCGAGCCGAGCGCGCTTATGTTGAGCAGCTGAAGCTGTAGCTGGGCAAATGTTGGTATTGACGATAGCGGACACCGACACCGAAACCGACAACGCATCACAAACATTAACCCTATTACAAAGGCAAATGCTACTGCCGGATCCCAGGACAATTATCGGCTCTCCAAATGGCTGAGAATGATATAGACACACACAAACACACACACACACACACACATACACACACACACAGAGAGGCAAACAACAACAAGCACACAAACACAATTCGTTTGGCTTGTTGCATGCCAGCCAAGTTTCCCCCAATGTTGAGATACAAAAAGCTTTGCAAGCTTCCATCTAAGGGTGGTTTACTTCCGTCGCCAGGTAGCAAGCAAAGCCGCACAAGCCACGAAGCGAACTGCAAGCTGAGACCGAGTTTGTTTCACACACACCAACACACACACACATATATATATCTATATATATATATATCTATATACTTGCGCCAGCTGCCTTTCATGCAGCGGCCATAAGTGTGCTACAGTTTTTAAGGGGCGCAAGCGCCGCATAAAATATTGCCTGCGAAATGTTGCCAAGCAGCAAGTTGCTCCAATCAGGCCAACAGCGAGACTTGCTCATATTATTATTATTATTATTACATATATTATATGTTAATATGCAGTTTAAGTTTTGAAATTGTGATAATATCTTATTGTTAACTGTCTGAAAGGGTCTTTCATAGTGGAATACCCAAATAGAAATTCGGTTATTTAAAATTTCCTGGCACAGGCTATTATAATTTTTCTTTCGCATCAGTTCCTTATTTTTAAAAGTATTTATTAATTTGTATTTAATGATTTGATTTGATAAATTTCTTTGTAATAGTTGTTTATGTTAGTTACTTTATGTTATGCTTATGTTATCAACTCGTGTCACTTTAGCATAATTAAAATAGGATCCACATCCTCTCCTAGCTTAAGCTAGCTTAAGCTTAACATAAGCATTTCAATTGTAAACCAACCCTAGTACTGCACTGAAGCAAACAAAATAAATTTAATTAAGTTTTATAATAAATCCAAGAAAATCTTAATGAATATAGGCCATATTTCTACATCAGATCTGAGTACTATAACATTTAGATGCATTTACAAATTGAGCATAAACATAGATAACTGAAATGTTGCTGTGCAAAGCAAGAAATGTTGCCAAGCGTATGTTGCTAAGCATGTGTGATTTGCAGTTGGGGAAGAGAGCTGCAGCTTTTATGCTTGTTGCCATTGACAACTGTTGCGTGTGGCCCCGAGAGCCGAAGGCTGACTAGCCAGCGACAAATAGGAGTCAATACACATACACAGACACACACACACACACGCAGACAGACAGAGTGAGTGAGTGAGAGGAGGGGAGACGAAGGCTGGCAACATAATTACGCGCTTCTCGCCGTCGCCGCATTCTCGCTGTAAAGCTCTGTACTAAAAAGCCACACAATTGTTGTATTAAACACGTTTGATGTGTGTGCACTGCTTGCTGTACACATGTTTTCTTGCGCTTCCCTTTGTGTGTGCTATATGTAGGTAATACTCTACACACACACACACACACACTACTACTACTACACATGGCTTTTTAATACTTAGTTTGGTATTGGTAAATAATAGCGATGCGAACAAAAAAAGGGCAACTGCTATTGTACTTTATGTAGGCAAGTTGTGCGTCTCTCTCTGTGTGTGTGTGTGTGTGTTTGTGTGTGTGTGTGTTTGTATCTATAGCTGGGCACATTATATAAAATTTATAAATACTTTTAAAGCGATGCCTGCAAAGGTAGCTGTGTGTGCGCGTGTGCGTGTGCAGCGAGCAGTGGTATGCTGAGAGGGTGTACGCAAAAGGGGGGAGGCGGTGGGTGGTGGGTGGTGGGTGGTGTGTGTGGGTGTCACTAGGGACGCTTAGGCGGCTCGTGAACTGGCGACTTTATTGCTGTATTATTGGCCTTTAATTTGACCATCAATATTTTGCCAGGCATCAGCGTGAATTTCCTGCCTTTTCCATTTGGCTAATTTGTGTTATGTTTTTTCTTTTGAATTTCAATTGTTTTGTTTTCCCGTTTTGTTATTTTTCCTCTTGTTATTTTCTTTTACGATACGCGTTTTATTTAACTTGACTTTACAGGTCATGCAATTAAATTGATTTATGCCACAGATATTTACTTCCAGCTCCGATTGAAGGACCAGCGCAGCCCTTGCTATTAATAGCCATTGAAATACTCCGATTCTGCTGGCAAATCTGCTTACTTGTTTATAGCCATGCATTTTAATTAGTTTCCAGTTGTTTGTGGCATTAATCCTTTGCTTAATCGGCTTCCGTATATTCCTATTCGAAGAAATTACAATTATTTCTGATAATTCTGCATTGCAAAAAGGTTCTTTCTGCAAAATCTCCCTTTCATTTATGTAGTTTTCGAATTTCCTTCAAGTTGCCTCGCAGCAGTTGCAGCAACTGCAATTACGAGAGTGCAGCTTCCACAAAATCCTTGCCACTTACCACACTCAGAGGCGTATGCAGATTTTCCCAAAGAGGGCCGCTGAATTTATTTCCAAGTTTTCGTCTTTTTTATTTTTTACTTTTTAATGGTCTCAGAAAATCAATTGAGTATGAGACAAAATGCAAGAATAATAAATTGTTCAACAAGTCAGAATGATCTTATCGAGTGCGATCGACTAGCAAACACCCTGTAACCAATTGGCTTAAATGATGTAATGAAGTAAAAATGGCACTTGCTTTCCAGCATCATTCGATGCAAGAGAAGCTAATGTTTTTAAAGTTATTACACCTTGAAGGAGTCTCCATTCGAGTAGGCGGGGCAAGGACTATCTGCGCTCCACAGCACATCCGGTTAGTCGCTGAATTTTGCGATATTTCACACCATTTTGTGAGCAAACCCCATTATTTGTTGTCGAATTGTGTCGATCCTTGAATCCCAATCGATAGACGCATATACAAAGTTATAACTGGGAGATATGCCCTCGCTGAAATGTACTTTTATGAAAATAACCCCTGCCCCCCTTTACCCGCTTGGCAGCACCGTCTCTGGCCACACTTAAGGTGCATAAATCAGGCTGCTTGCGGCCTGAGGCCGTTATGAATTATGAAGAAGCGGGCGGAAAATGATTCTCGTTGCCACACGGCGCGACTGAGCGCAAAACTTGAGCTGTTTATGGCCGGGGTCCTGAACGCACTTACCACTTGCCACTTGCCACTTGCCACTTACCGCAAGTCCCTTTTCTGGAGGGACAGTAACAAAGGTGCTCATTACCGTGTTTCGAGGGGGGTATTCAGCAGCGTTCCCCCCAAACTTTGCCTTAATGTAGTTAGCACTTGATTTCAGCCACCCCCCCTCCTTCCCCTTCCACTAACCACTTCCCCCCTCTGACGCCATTCGACAATTTCACGCATCCATTGTTTTCAACAACATTTGTTTTTCATCACTTTGTTTTGTGTGCATTTTGTGGTCGACACTGGGTCTGCCGGGGGGGTTTGGAGAGGGTGGAGAGCGTGGCAGGGTATGTGGAAATTTCCAAACCACAGCCACTTCTGCGTCTTTATGACTTTCAGGCCAAAGGGCACAAAGGCAAGCCAAATATTTTTGGTAGCAAAAGGAAAACAATGTGCATTATGCGGGTAATATTCTTATGCAACGAAAAGATGTTTTTTGTTGTTGTTTTTTGTTGTTGTTGTTTTTTTTATGATGTTTTGTTTCCTTTTTTTATGTTGTTTGCCCAGCCACTTAGCGAGCCAGGCCCCAAGCTGTCTCTCTCTCTCTCTCTCTCCCTGATTTAGGCCTGGTCACATGCTGTGGCTCTCTGGATCTCAGCTAATTAGGATGGCAATCAGCCATTTTTATGGGACTCTTACGGCCAATTATATTAACAATATCCGTCTTGATAAGTATGCGAATTGGGCTAAAATTAAATCGATTTATTATTCAATAAATTGAACGCTTACGCTTACAATAGTTGTAGCTATAATTTACTTGGCTTTGGAGTAGTGAATGGGTGGTGGGGGTGGGTAGGGGTGGGGGGTGGAGCGTTGCCAGTTTATATTTTTAATATACCATAATAATAATAATAATAAGAATTATATGTTTATGTATGCTTTATGCTTTAGGCTCATAATTGTATTTATGTCTATGTCCTAGGGTGTAATATGGTTTATGGATCAAAATGCAAGTGTATATTTATGTGTGTGTGTGTGTCTGTGTGTGGCTGTGTGTGTGTTCACTTAGAATTACATAAAGTATATATATATGTGTCTGTATATAGATATTTACTACTACATAGCAATTATTGATATGTACACAAGCTTTATAGCCTAAAAGACAATTTTTGAGAAGAAAAAATCATAATAATAAAAATGAAACAAACAAAAATTGCTCGCTAAAAAAAAACACAAACTTCATATACCGAGGGGTGGGCGGTAGGCGTGGGGCATGACCTTAGGTACCCTAACAACTAATCAATATATATATATATATATATATATATATGTATGTATGTGTGTGTATATTGTATATTTTATTTAATTGTTGCAGCTGCTTAGAAACTAGATACTATTAAATTAAATACAATGCTCGAAAGCTTGTCTTTTATGCAAAATGTGGAAATTGAACATGCTACACGATCTATATATATATATATTATATGGTATATATATATGCTATATATGTATACATATATATATATATATAAACAATATGTTTGTTTGCTTATTTATGGGCATGTTTGTGGGTGCAGCTGCCAAATGCTGGATGCACTTTTGTCTTAGCCAGGCTAACGAGTTCCAACTCACACACACACACGTGTGTGTATGTGTGTATTTTCTGTGTGTGTGTGTGTGTGTGTATTTTGTTGTTGTATTTGATTTTTTATTTTTCTGAAAAATATGACTTTGGTATTCCTTTTCATATGCATATCTTGTCGGCACTCTATGAACTGACCACAGCATCCTTAAGCAGACTTGCACCCACTGCACCGCTGACCCCGACACCAACCCCCCCAATTCCTGCACCATTCACAATCTCATCTGTGAGTTGTTGTTGTTGCTGCTGCTGCTGCTGTTGTTGTTGTTGCTGTTCCTGCATTGTTTCCTCATCGGTTGCCTCGTTCTGGCCAAGTTCCTGGCTGTTTTCATGCTTGAGCTCATCATCAATGCTGCTGCTGCTGCTGCTGCTCCTCACTGCTGGCTCCTCAACAGCAGCAGCCGCAGCAGCAGCAATTGGCGTCTCTGCCTGCTGCCGCTCAGTGCCTGCTCCTGTTTCTGGCTTGGCTGCTGCTGCTGCAGCTGCTGCTGCTTGGTTTGCTGCCACCAGCACACCCGAGTACTTAATGCCATTTAGCTCGAGATTGACAATCAACTGCTGCTCGCCATTTGCATTGGTGCCTGGGAAAGTAAGGGATTAGGATGAGGAAAATCGAATACTTCTGCTTCTGATTACTTACCGTTGCGTGCCACTTGAAACTGCATGCCCGAGAGCAGGCTGAGCGTCTCGAGGGGATTCAGTTTGGCATCGTTGGCACTGCTGCTGCTGATGCTGTTGTTGTTGCCGGCATCCTTCGCACACGACAAGGACTGCGTCTTGTTGCTGTTGTTGTTGTTGTTGCTGTTGTTGCTGCTGCTGTTGCAGTTGACACTGCTCTTCTTTTTTGTGGACACCGGCGAGCTGTGACGATGCGATTTGGATGTGGATGATGATGTTGTTGTTGTCGTTGTCGATGTGCTGGGTGAGTTCTCAATGGCCGAGTCATCCGACTTGTCCAGATGATTCTGATGATGATGATGATGCTCATGATGCAGATCATGATGCAGATCGTTATGATCATGATGATGATGGTGCAGGTGGTGTCCATTCAGCTGCTGTGGCTCACTTTCATCTTGCAGCGACGATGAGTTGCCGGTGGTGTTATGCTCCCCATTGCCATACTCATCCTCTGGTTCACCCTCAGACACAGCATCCTGCTGCTGCGACTGTTGCTGTTGCTGCTGCTGCTGCTGCTGATGATGATGATGATTGTTGGCGGCCTGGTGATGAAAACCGGCGGCGGCTGCCACAGCGGCCATATTGTGTGGATTCAAGTAAAAGTTGGCGGGAAAACCGGGCGGCATTAGGCCACTGCCCACACGTTTCGCCGGCGGCGGCTGAAGTACCGTTTCCTCCAGATCCGTTGGTTCTGGCGTCGGATCGCGTTCTCTTTCCCGTTTTATGTGATTCAAATTCAAAGTTGGCGGCGAATCGGAAAGGTTCAAGGCTTCGCTGCAAGTGCAAGAAACAAAAACGAAAGCTTGCCGGTTAGTGTCTGGGCTAAGAGAGTAAAAGCTCTTGCTTGCTACGGGCAGTAGAGCAGCAGTGGAACTTGTTCAGTGTCTAGACTAAGCGACAAAATGTGTGTGCTGGTGCATGTCTAAGCTAACTTACCGTTGCTGTGGTGAGGTGTGCGCCGAACCGGTTGGACTGCTATTGTGGTACATATGCCAAAGCGCCACCTGTGCACTCAGCGCATCACGTGTGCTCAGCTCGGGGCTTTGTGAGCGCTGTCGCTGCTGCTGCTGTTGTTGTTGTTGTTGTTGGTGATGGTGCAGCGATTGTTGTTGCTGCTGCTGCTGCTGCTGGTGGGGATGTGTGGCGCCCAAAACTGGCGCATTCTGTTGCTGCTGCTGCTGCTCCTTCTTGGCCTGTATGAGCTGCAGATACTCCATCATGCGATTCTCAATCTCCTGCGTCACCAGATTCGGCATCTGGCCAAAGGCCGGTCCGCCCATCAGCCGTCGATGTGCTGCTGCCGCTGCGGCCGCTGCCTGCGCCTGCTGATTGTTCGCAGCCGCCGCGTGTGTGACCAGCGCCAACGGCGACATCTGTTGCATGCCCCCAGGCAACGGTGGTCGCGAAATTGTTGTCTGCAAAAAAAGGAAGCCACATTTCAGTTAGCTTTGTTTTATATACATATAATATAGTATAATTATAGTCAACATAATATTCCAATTATGAGCAAGGATGGGGGGACAGAGTATGTGCTAGTCGAGCAAGTACTCACCAGTGGCATCTGATTGTGCATGGCCTCGTATTGGCCGTAGCTGGAGCGACGTCCTTCGCGACGATTGCCATCGATGGCCGCCTGCAGTTCGGCGGGAGTGCTGAGGTTCTTCTTCTCGCACTCGTAGGGGTACAAATACTTCATGTATCTGAAGAAAGATGCATAAAATTATTAATAAGCGCAGTCAACATGCATCGGGCAACGAGTGCAAGTAAAACACATCGCACATCGCACATTGCACTGTCGTCGTCCTGTTGCCTGTTGCCTGTGGCAACTGCGACTTTATGTTGAATTAACATGTAAATACGAAACGTGACGAGCAACGCAAAGCAAACAAATCTCAGCGGAGGAGCAACAGGTAACTTGCAACAGGCAACTAACTGGAGTCACTGAGTAACTGGGATCGTTGATCGATGGCCCCTTTTGATCGGTTTGCCGTTGTTTGATTGTTTGAGATTGTTTGCTCTTTTCCACTGTTTGATCAGCGCATAGTTCTCAAGCAGGTGTTGAATGGATTATGTATATATATATATATATATATATATGAATATTTGTATAAATGTACTTATAAAAAGGGTAGAATCAAATAAGCAAGAGATCTAAAGGGGCATCTCTGTCTATAAAAGTAATTTTAAGGCGTTGATGCCAGTTTTAGAGATAGATAGAGAAATATATAACTTGATCATATTTCTATAATTTATTTATTCATCTTTCTAACAACATATGAGATTGGTCTAAAAAATATCACTAATTTGGAAAACTTTTTATAATTTAAATATGTCTTTTGCTGGTTTCAGGTTGAGAGTAAATTTTGTGTATAATCCGAATTTACTATTTTGTATACAGGAGTTTTTAAACTTAAACAGAGCTGACTGAACGAAGGCTGAGGGCAGCAAGAAAGACATATTTCAATTATATTTAAAATAAACTGAATTAAGTCCAATCAGGCAATCAGGCTAATCACAACTATCGCTACAGTTACAGGGTATCTGCAGGAGTCAGGCGGAAAACTTACTGGGTGCGCAGGGTGAATGCCGCACTGGTGATGCTCGATGGCAGATGCAGTCCCTTGATAATCTCCTGCCAGAGCTTCTTGTTGATGACATCGACGAGGCCGCCGCGTGCTATCACCAGATTATATAGCTCATACAGATCCAGCACCGATTTGGCCATTATGGGCAGGCGGTTGATGGGCGTGCCTGCGATAGAAACGACAACAAAGATGAGCAATCAATGTGAAAAAAATAGGAGAAAAAATTGAAAGAAAATGAAAATGTGGAAATTAGCAATGCGTCTGTTTGCGCTATAAAAACATCCACTTGTGGCATGTATGTAAATGTTTTTCAATGCGCTTGTTAAATGCACCAGCAAGCAAAACACGATTAAACGTTCCCATAAAACAGATTTATCGCATTGTTCGAGTATCTCTTTCTCGTTTGGGCCTACTCTGTGCATCACCCCCGCATCCGCACAATCTTCGGCAATTAACACTAGTTGAATGCTACAACAACAACAACAACAAGAACAACAACATGAGGAGCACGCTGCCTGTGCACCGATAAAAACAGAAATAAATCCAAATTGTTGTTGCCGACTCGCTACAAAAGGCGTACACAGATGTTTGTACATATGTCGATGTATGTTTATGGCGGCTAATCATCATCATCTTTGCCATCAGTTCTATTTCCCATTGGAATCGTATTATTCGATATTCACTTGCCACGCCCAAAACAACACGCCCACCGCCCAGTTGGCTGCCAAACTCATTTGCAGCAGCCTCGCAGACCCCGCAACAAGGCCATAAAACGCTGAGACTCTAACGAACTTATAATGCCCTCCACATTGAAATTGGGATTTAAGTTTAAATTTATCCTTTTTGGATGAAATTGTTAAAGCTTCTTCAAAGAGAAAATCACTTAAATGTGTACAAAAGACTTGTTCAAAGTTCGCTCATTGCTATCAGAGTCTTGTTTGAAAATATTGGCAAATGTTTAATGTTGTTGCAAGTGTATAAACAGGCTGACACAAACTCAACAACAGTTGGCATGGACTCCAGTTTGAGTAGCGCAGTGGCGCATATAAAAATCAAATCGACTTGCATAATTGTTGTGCTCGATACGTGAGTAACTTGATTTTGTACACAAGAACAATTTGTTCAATATCATTTAGTTTAGTAGTTTGTTGTTGGTAGTATGCAGCTTGTGCCTCATTCTGTGCCTCATTCTGTGCCTCGTTCTGTGCCTCGTTCTGTGCCTCGTTCTGTGCCTTTTGCTGCCCAAAGCCTCTCGACTTTTTATGAGCCCAAAGGAATCAATCAAACTCGTTGATGGACGTGTTGATTGAATGAAAATACATTTTTGTTTTTTGTGCATATAAACAAATGTGCGGCGCAAGGGGGCAACGATGATTGCCCCTGTGCATATCACATAAAAACTAAGAAAAAAAAATATATATATATATAAGCAAAAGCAAAAAGGAATAAAACGAGTAAATCGAACGATTTATTTTGTGGCAGGGGCAGACAGAAGATGTATTGATATGCGATGATGCTTTCATTTGAATTGCACTGCACGAGCCACAACACAACAGCCAAAACATAATCAATGGCAATTTAATGATTAACTTTGCTCCAGTCTCACCGATCATTAAACTCTTCAACAAAAACTCACAACATATCCCAAAGTGCGCCTTTGGGGTTGAAGTTGTCGGATCGAATCGGTTTTTCGGATCGCAGAGACTCTCCTGGCAAAGACATTGGCTGCACTGGCACGCACATGCAACACATGTCTACAAATATATATAAATATTTATATATCATTTATAATTAGTTAATGGCACTTGCAATCATGGGCATCTTATACAAAACTAGTTGATAGTCGATCGACTATCCACGCTTGGCAACATATTAGTTAAACCAACTCTGCTCATGATAATAGTCGCTTCTATTTCTAAATTACAATCTTTAACAAAGTAATAAAATACATATATTGGTGGCTGCAATAATAATAATTAAGTTGAGAGGCGCAGGTTTGGAAAGTAGGCTAGTTTTGAAGTGATTTCTAACATTAAAAAAGGCTCAGACTCCTAGGATTTCAAAGAGAGCAAAATTTGTTCTTCAATTAAAATTATTATTTTATTTTGTAAAAAAAAGATGCTCACAGAAATAGCTGTCATAGAAATAGGCGATTAAAATATAATTTGCAACATTTAAATACAATTTTAATAATATTTCGTTGCAGCTTTTTGCTCAATCATCTTGTTTTTCAAAGTAAATATTAAACATTATTAAATATTGATTATGTTTTATTAAAAAGTTGGTTATAGTGAGCAACTGTTTGCTTTGCAGTTGTGCCTCAAATACACCTGTCAGAAACTGCTACACGGATCTATGTTGAAATTGTATTGGAATTTGGCTTTAAAGCTTTTTGAAATGGACTAGCGATCAATGCCACAGATCACAGATCACAGATCGCTGGTTTCTATTTATTTATTTATTTTTATGCATTGTTTTCTTAGATGTCATGGCATTTTAATGGAATTTAAAGAAATTTGATAGAGTCTGAAATCATAACGCATCTCAGTCGCTAGTCTCGCTAGTTTGACAGTTGATTTAGTTGGGTTGCTTGGATTGTGGCACTGGTTGCTGTTGTTGTTGTTGTTATTTGTGCCCCTCCCCCTGCCCCCCTTGTGCCCACGGTGGGCGCTCGTTGGGACGGATCTGGCAAGGGTCTGTCAGACGAGCACTGAGAAATATCTACAGAAATAGCGCGCCCGGTTGATAAGTGATTGACGTCTTTTAATTAAGAATTGCGCCGCTCTTCGCTGCACAAACACAAACACACACACACACACACACACATACATATATATATATATATATATACACACACAGATACAAACAGGGACGCGCATATTTAGTTTTTATATATATTCATTTTTTTTTCAGCATAATTTCCGTTATATAGTTGTGCAACTAATTGTACATTGGATAAGCAGCAGATACGTGTATATAAATATAGTTATAGATACAGATACAGATACAGATACAGATAAAGATACATATGAGTACTCTATATAGAGTATATATAGTCAATGCGCTGCGCATTTTTCGGCATTTCCACCAAATTAGGGGTGGGGTGGGGCTTGGGGGCAAATCCACAAAGACACTTTAGTCAGAGAAACCCAGCGACACAATCGGTGGCAGTCTCAGACAGACACACATACACACACACACACACACTCACACACACACAATACATACATACATATGTCAAAACTTTAACGCATGTGACAGATTAAAATCCATTAAGTTGTCAAGTTTGGTTGGGAGATATATATGTATATATCTATATGTATATGTATATGTATTTATGTAGATATGTAGGTATATAGTAATATATAAATATCTGCATAAGCTTTTTTGTTATTGTTTATTATCTGTGCGTGTGCTTGCATGTTGTATAAAACAAATAGGAAAAACACGTTGCAAGTCTAGCTTTGTTTGGCATTAGCGAGTCTATAATGAAACAACAGCAACAACCTGCCACATAAAATGCACTCACACATATACATACACATATATTTATATGTGTGTTTGTGTGTGTTGCTTGTAATTTTTTGCTTCGCACGAAACATTTTTGCTTTGCATGTCGCAAATGCAAATATAAACAAATTTAATGCACTCTGCAACTCGCAAATACTTCAGTTGCATTCGCGACTCTGACTCCGACTGCGGCTGTGGCTGTGGTTGTCGCTGGGCAGCTCGAGGACGCCGCGACAGGAAGTGGCAGTAGGCTGGCCGCCGATTGCATGCCACATGCTCAAAAGCACATTTGTGCAATTGTTAATGCTTATAATTAATGACGAAATGCAGTTAAGCATTTCAAATACTTTGCCATTTAAAAATAGTCTAGACTTTTTTTCTTTTTCTTTTTTTGGGAGGCCACATTTAAGTACCAATATACACAAATGTACCGCCGAGAACTTGCCACGTTGCCTCGACGCGTTCTTGAGGCGAGCGTGTGTTTGACGGTAATTTGGAGTGACAAAACGACAAAAGTGCGGCATCATTTTGATGAAGATGATGATTTCACTAACATTCGTTAAGATTTCTGCATATTTTAATGCACTCACACACACACACACTCACACACTCACACACACACAGAGTGAGAGAGAAAAAAGCCAAAAGCGAGAAATCAAACGGCAAAGTGCCGAGAAATTTATTCAATTAACATAATTTGAGTCCGTCCGCAAAGCAAACACTTCAAATTTGGTTAGCTGACTCAGCGCGGCTGTTAACACACACACACACACACACATACACACAGACAGACAGACAGACACACATACATAATGCAAATGCAACTACAGAAGTGTTGCTCAAGTGTTGCATCAGCCCCTCATCCCCTCTTCCTCCCATAACCAAATCTTTACAGGGCACTTACCTCGCTTTTGCATAAACGAAAACAAATCATCGAGAAACTCCTTGCGCTTGGGATCATCATTGATTTCGTAGAGCTGCGAATAGAAAACAGACAAATGCAATATTATTATTATTATTATTATTATTATTATTATTATTATTATTATTATTATTATTATTATTATTATTATTATTATTATTATTATTATTATTATTATTATTATTATTATTATTATTATTATTATTATTATTATTATTATTATTATTATTATTATTATTATATTATATAGAGAACAATAAAAGAGCTCAGATAGAGTGAGAACAGCCGCTACTTGACTTGTGGACCAATGGATTTGCGCAAAATGGTTGCCACACGCTATTCTATTGTGTTGCACGGCTTTGTTGTGCTCTGTTGCTTGCTCAATGTTGGCCAACAAACAGACAATAGACGCCTTGACAGGCGGCGACACTGAGCAACATGCCACAGCCAACGGGCAACAAGCGGCAGGGGCGCGTGTTGCTGCTCTTCATTCACTCATTCATTCAGTCGACCATTCAACTGGGGGTTGAAAACGTTCACGAATCGTAAACGTGTGAAACACCCCAATAAGCATTAAAAAGGGCAAGTTTTTCAGTTGCGTGAGTGACTCAGCACAATGCATAATTAGGTGATAAAGATGAGAATGCCTCCTGTACATAAGTACTACTTATGTATTTATCTATATACATATATGTACATAGATGAAGGGAGAGAATGCATAACGATAATGTCCATAGAAATGTTACAAGCACTGATTAAATTCCCTACTTGACACTAATAATAATAAAATGTAAAAAAGTTAAAAATGAATCTTCATTATTTTTGGCCTGCTTAGCTGCCATTAAATATATTTAACTAGTATAAATATGATATAAAATATAGTTAGTTAAATGAATTTAATTTGAATTGAAGAAAACAATGTTATAAAATATATATTATGATTATTGCAAGATGGCCATAAACTGTGACAAGCTCAACAGTCCAACTCGAATTCTGGTTGTTCAGCTTAAACATTTATATATATAAATAATAATAGTGGATTCATTCATTATTCACATTTCTTATGCCGTTGTCTACTGAGGCTCCTCGTGTGCATACTTTGACCCTTTGACCCATTCGCCAGAGAATTTTCTCTAGCATTTTAGTTTCTTTAGTAAAATGATTACAGAGTCCTAACTAAGACGGCATCAACATCCAAGCCTAGCTTCGGTTGTATGTGTATAAAATTAATGACAACATCTGAGTGAACTCATCAAATTTGGAATTCATCATACCATCCGCCTACTGCAAAGGAAAAGGCAACAGCAACGGCAACGGCAAAGGCAAACGGCAAAGGAACAAATGCTTGATGGAAGATTTAAGTTTGAGTTTTGTTGCTTTTGCTGTTGCTGTTGTTGTTGCTGTTGTTGTTGCCATGTTTGGCCATGTTTCAGTCTACAGTTGGTGCACATTCTAAGTCAATGCGAATGATGATGAACTGCCTTCTGCTTCCCTACTCGCATAAATGATTTAAAACGCGACTGAAGTTACAACACTCCAACAAAAACAACAGTAACTTGTGATGGAGTCTCTTCCGATCTAAAGCTTGAGTTCAACATGTTGCCAGCCAGAGGCTGAGCCTGAGCCTGAGCCTGTGCCTGTGCCTGAGAGCGAGTAAGAGAGACACAGAGAGTGTGATAGAGAGAGCGAGGAGCAGATGGAGACTGACGAGCTGCCAAGCGTCGTCGATTCATTGCCATTGCCCCCAACTTCGACTTCGAGTTCGACTACGACTACGACTCTGACTCCAACTCCGACTTCGACTCAAACTGCAACTGCAGCTCACAACTTCCACTGGCTGACTGTTTTTTATGATGCACGACGCCCACAAGAGTTATTGTATATGTATGCAGACACACACACACACACACACACACACACACACATATACATCGTTGTTTGCTTGTGTGCGTATTTCATGTATATATTTCTCTTTTTGGACAGGCACAGGAATTGATTGAAGTTCAACTTCAAGTTGTTTTACGTTTAATGCTTTTTGGCATTTATTTTATCTGACGAGCTCGAGGCAAAAACAAAAAAATAACAAATTTTTTTTTGTATTTTTTTTTTTTAATTAAAGTTTTCATATATATCTGGTTTTTTTCTCAGCGTTGTTTTTTGTTTTTATATGCCAATGAAATTGCAAAATGTGTAATTTATGATCGTCTGGCTGATGAATATATACCTCCTGTATTTGATCCTCCGAGATGAGCATATTGGCAAATTACGCGCACGCAGATACACACACACACAGATACACACAAGGACACCAACACCAGCACCGTCACCGGCACAATTAACTCAAGTTATCAATTTATATTGAATAAATTCTCGATTTGTTAATCAATTTGTTAGCCCGGTTTTTGATTTCTATATATACTGTCGCTGATAACTAACAATTCACGCAGAATGCAGCCACATTGATTGATCAACGCGACGATGCAACGCCATCAAAGGTCGTTTATCAACTAAAAATATTGAAAGTATCTCGTCGAATGCAGCAATATCGACAATCGACGCTGACGTCGCCGTCGCCGTCGCACGCGTAGTGTACAAATCAAAACACACACACACACACACACACACGCACACACTCGTATCTCGATTACCATGTGTTTGTGTGCTGCCTGCCTGGCTGCCTCTCTGCCTGCCCGCCTGCCTGCCTGCCTGCCAGCGTGTCTGTGTGCATTAATAATATGTACCTCTCATAAAAATGAAGTCCGCTTTTCGGTTATTGTGAAAAACAGATACAAATCGTGGCATGGGCAACCCTTGTGGCAAACCTGCTGCTGCCGCCGCCCAAGTCCAAGTCCGAGAATTGATCAGGGCTGGCTTTACTTGCATCACAGCAGCAGCAGCAGCAGCCGCAGCCACTGTCCACAGGTCCACAACAGGCCACAGGCTACTCAACAACAACAAGTCCGCTGATCCTCTCTCTCTCTGCGCTCCGCAATAAAACGATAAAAATCCCCTAACAGAAGTTCTCTAGACCAATCATAATCGTTTTTATAACAACACACACACACATGTATATAAATATATATATATATATAAGTAACTCTTGTGTCGCGTCTTGAGGACACATGTCACACACACACACACACACACAGGCAGACATGTACTTTGACATCGCCTTGGGTTCGGTTATAAAAATAATCTTACTTATTTGTCGCTAACAATTTGGACTAGTACCTAAAAGTGCAGGCTATGGCTATGCTTGAAATTTGAATCCTTGATTCTGGGAATTCTCAAATGCGTTTTGCCAGATCAAAGTATGTGTTAATGTACGTCTCTGTATGTGTGTGTGTGTGTGTGTATCTGTGTGTAATTTATAACTATCAGCGTAGTGCAGATGCCATTGCAAAGTGCAAGGTTTCCAATGGATATGCTACTAAAAATTATATAGCAACGATCCCGTTGCAAGTTGATCCTCTCGATCGTCTCATAATTTGTCCAGTTTCATTTACACATGCTCACACACACATACATATTTCTATATCTATATATATATATATAGGTATTGTATTTTTGTGAGTGTATCATGTTGTGCACATATTTATTTAAGAATTTCACACTCGTTATTGAAAATCTGTTGACCAGATTTTTGTTTTGTTCACTTTAATTAACTGAAATTCGTTGAGGTTTCGTTTATTTTTATTGCCTTTGTTGATTTAAGTATATCTTGAAGCGAGTACAGTGCTTGCTGATTAAAAATGTTACGAAAACTTATTTAAATATCGATGACTGCAATTTTGATTCATCGCAACTCAGTCCAAATGGAACACATATATATACTTTTATATATATATAATTTTGGCAAATTTCTCAACTTGATTGACGTATTTGTTTTGTGAAATGAATAAATAATAAATATTTGGTCGAATGGTCGATAAAACGTGAGTTTTAATAAACTAAAGCAATTTCAGCAGTAATTAATTTTGTGCTTTTGTTGTTAACTATTTTCGAACGTTTGCTGGCAATAATCTAACAATTTCATTGCCTTTTGTACGAATTAGTAATAAAATTCATAATTATTAACACTAAATAATAAGCGCAATGCGCAAATGTTTCATAATCCATATTTGTGGAAGGGGAATGGGAAATGGGAATTGCAATTGAGAATGCGATGAGGAAATATTATTTTGTTTAGAATTGAAATAGATTAGCCCGAAGAGAAATAGAGAAATACGTTTAAAATAAAATAATATTGGAAAATGCTTTGCTGTCTATAATTAAGCATAATTATTCAGTATGTACAGATAATTGACATTGATTAATGAGAGCAAACGAACTATGTAGACTACCGCATACAAAAGCGACAGCATTGTATGTATAAAATAAAAAGAAATCATATAGAAACGAGGAAAAAATACCAAAATAATATTTCGTCTTCGTCTGCGATGAGATAGATAGACGGATAGATGGACGGAAAGTTGGATGGATTGCTGGCTGGCTGGCTGGATGGATGGATAGATGGATGGATAGATGGGTGTCTGGCGAGAACGGTGGGGCGGCAGTCAATGCTGTTCCTCTGCGAACCACCAACAACAACAACAGCAAGTTGTGTAAAATGATTTTCTTTTGGCATTGCGCATTGCGCTAAGGCAGACAAATTCAAAATGGCTTTTCATACGCGGCAGCTACTCACTCAATTAACATAATTATCGTTTTGAGTAGCGGCCACATTTTCACAATTAATGAAAGCCGCCATTTTGCGGGTGAGCAGCGAATACAGCAGAAGCAGCAGCAGCAGCAGCAACAGCAGCAGCAGCAACAGTCACAGCCGCAGCAGCAGCCACAGCAGCAGCAGCCACAGCAGCAGCAGCAGCAGCAACATCAACGATGTGGCATGATTCGAATCTGCCTAAGGGGATTAGGCAAGCGAACAGCAAAAACTAAAACTAAAACCAAAACCAAAACGAAAACCAACCCAACCCAACCCAACGCAATGCAGCCCAACACCTACTAGAGAGAGTAAGAGAAACACAGCTGGGTGTTGGCTAAGCCGGTTTGAGGCACACATCTTCTTAGCCGCTGTGTGTAAGCGAAGGTGTTAAGCGTGAAGCGCGGCATATAGATACATATATTGTATATATGGTACTCTGGTACTGTGTGTGTGTGTGTGTGGGGCAGTGTTTGCATTGCGAGGGTCAAAGTTTTTATAGTGCATAGAGAATGCGGGCCCCGTTTGATGAATTGCCTGCCCCAGCGTCGTCGAGGGTGTATGTACGAGTTAATCGAAGTTTAGTTTTTATGGCCAACAGGGCCAAAGCTGTTGCGGTTCACACGGCGGCGCAACAATTTTTATTTACTTTTTCTATTGTTTTTTTCTGTTTTTTTTTTTTGGCAACAACAGCTTAGTAGTTAGTAGAGGCGACGACCTCGGCATTTTAATTACCAGATTGTGCACTTATTGAGGAAATTTCACGCTGGCTCTGCAGCCATGCGTAAGAGTTGAAACTAGACTAGGCACAGCATCTACGGAAACAGAAACAGAAATTCAATCCAAAAACTGGCTCTTTTCTCACCAAAAAAAAAAAAAAAAATTATGGCTCAAGATGTGCGAGCATTAATTGCTCAATTGCAGCATGCGGCAAGCGGCAAAGCGGCAAGCAGCAAGGCAGCAAGGCAGCAGCAAGCACAAAACCGGAACTACTAAACGCGGTACTCTTTTTTATTGCATGTGAACAGCTTCGGGGCAGAAGCGTCAAAACGAGATCAAAACTTGGCGCATCCCCCTCTTGACTACTTGCACACACACACACATATGCTCAAGATGTTGGCTATTAGCCGTTAATTGATAGTTTGCCTAAATGGCTGGGCTGGCCCGGCCCCTGGCAGCGAGTGCCTGGCCTGCCCTGGCCTGGCCTGGCCTGGACTTGAGTTTGGGTTTGGGTTTGGGTTGCCTTGTTTGCAAAGAGATTAAATTGACTAACACTAACCTGTCTGACTTGTTTGTACTGCTCTTCAAAGCTCCAGCCATTATTCTGCTGCGATGAATTGGATGCCTCGCTGGACGTCGATGAATTTGATGCGGAATTAGCTGCAAAGTGGCGCGCTGAGTTCACAAGTTAAACACTCTAAATCCCACAGCCCCATACCAACCTTCTTTGGTGCTGCTCGGCGCTGTTGGCGATGCAAATGAAAAGGGATGACCATTGCCGGCACCGTTATTGTTGTTGTTGTTGTTGTTGTTGCTATTGTTATTGTTGTTGTTGTTGTTAACACCACTGCTATTGCCGCCAGCACCTCCTGCTCCTGTGCCGCCACTGTTGCCAACGCTAGCAGGTGCTCCTGTTCCATGTCCACCGCTGGGCCCACCATTGTAGCTGGCGCCATTGTTGGCTGTCGGCACCGGATTGGCATTCACATTTGTGGCATGGCCAAAGGATGCAGCTGCCGCAGCCGCTGCCACCGAATTGTGCGGCAGCGGAAAAGCCGTACTGATCGTTGTGGGCAGCATGTTGGCGCCAAAGGCTGCGGCATGTGCCGCCGCTGCATAGTCCTGCTCCTGCAAGACAGACGTAAACAAACGAATCCAGTAATAAGCGTCCAAACTCATCTCGAGCTCAATTGCCAAATTGTGCAAAATGATTGTGATTGATGATTTTTTGAAAAGAATTATTTCATGTTCGAATTGTTCGATTCAAATTCCAAATCAAACATCAAACAATTTAACGCAAATCTCAATATTAATTGAAAATGATATCGAAGAGAAACTTTGACCGATTTCATATTGATAACTGACACAGCATATTTTCTATTCACAGAATAGTTCAGGAAAATCGATTAAAAGTATTTAATAAAAGGAAATTGATACACATAATTTATGTTATAATTGAATTAAACTATTCTAATTTGTGTCATGAAACATGTGGAAATTTAATGGGGCTCTTACCAAGCCCTGACCTGATTACTATATATATATATATATATATATATTATGTCTTTCTATTTATATGCCAAATAATCGTTTGCCTTTGAAGTTGTCTAAATGGATGCGGACACCAATAATTATCTATTAATGCAGACTGTAATTATCATAAAAACAACTAACTCAAACCAGTTGAGATCATTTTAAAAGCCTCAATTTAATTCTTGGTTTACAAATGTTGTCTATTCATGCTAATTTTATTTTAATTCTCTCATGACGGGAACATTTAATCAATTATTATTCGACACTCTCTAATCAAAATGTGATCAATATATCATAGCTTTTAAAGTAACAAATAAATAATATTTGATTTCAATAATATCAGCAGAAACGATAACTATTTTTTCAACATGTTCTGCATTAATAATTTATGGTTGTGAGTACGTTGATTTATCAGACTATTTGATACATTTATTCATTCATTTGTTCTTTATAGTGTCCACTCACCATGAGGCCAACTTTCATGTCGCGCACTTGCATCTTGAGCTTCTCGAGGACATCGCTGTGCTGCAGATTTGGAATGCTGTGTAGGCCGCCGATGCTCATAAAGCTGCCCAGGGCGTTGAGCGGATGATTCGGCGGCAGCTGATGATGATGGCTGCCAATGCACACAACATTTATATATTGTTATATGTTGTTGATTCCAATCAGAGTCGGCTATTAAATGCTACCCACCTGAGTGGCAGATCTGTTTGCTGCTCTGGACTGGCAAAGTTGAGGCCAGCGCCGCCGGCAACTGTGTGACTGAGCCGGGCTGCAATTGCCGCCTTGGCGCTCAGCTGATGATGCTCACCGTCAACGGAATCACAGTCGCGCATCTCGTCATCCGTACGATCACCGTGGGACTGTAACAAAGAGAGACAGAGAGAGAGAGGGAGAGAGAGAAGACGAAAGCGAGTGAGACAGAGACAGAGAAGGCTGTGGATATTTGTGGCCATCGGAGGCAGAGTTTCAATTGATGGCGGCGCTTATGTCAACAAGCCGCATCGATTGCCATCAATGAATCTTTGGCCTGATCTCATTGATTGCCACGACTCAATATCAAAATCACCCGCTGCGCTGTTTAAATCTGTGGCACTTTGTCACACACAACTGCTGCGGCTCCGACTGCGGCTGCGTGGGCAGCGTTTAGAGCAGTTGGAGTATGGTCATTGTTCTGCTTAGTCCCGTGCCAAAGGCGGCATATTAACATTAACACATATAAAGCGCAGCTCCAGCTCCAGCTCCAGCAACAACAACAACAACTACAACAACAAGAAAGGCGACAACAAAGGTAACCACTTAATAAGTTAACAATGCCCAAGCAAACGTAATGGAAATCAAGACGAGCCTCAGCACAGAACTGGAGCTAAATAATATATACACATACACATACATATATATATATATATATATATATATATATATATATATATTTTTTTTTTTTTTTTTTTTTTTGTATATGCTGAGAGGCAGACTAACAACTATAGTCCACTAAGGTACAACAAGAGTCACAGCCATGGCATATCCGTGGTTACAACCGTTTCAAGCGTACTATTGCCAGCCGTGACTTTGGCAAGAAGTCGGCCACGCTTGGCAGGCAGCAGCAGAGAGTCACAAAGGGGACAAAGGGGCAGGGGCTGGTGCAGAGTTGAAGTTTGGTCCGGTCTTTTGCTTTTTATGCATTTGGAGAGGTGCAAATTAAGCGCATCTGTGACTGTGTGCAAATCGGGAATTTTCAATTTAAACACACCCGACCGACCAACAGCAACAGCAACAGCAACATCAACAGCAGCAGCAGCACCAAACATACACATATATAGTGAAAAACATCTCAATGTAACCTGTAACGGCTGCACAAAGTAAGCCAAACCATGGCCAAGCCATGCCCAGGTTAACCCATCACCATCACCATCATCGTCACCATCATCATCATCATCATCATCATCATTGGACTACAGTTCGCATCTCAGTGTTCATGTGTGTATATAACATTTATCACCGTGTTTGTTGGTGTTGTTGTCGTCTTTGGTGTTGTCGCATTGCTGTATTCATTACCAAAAGCAAAGCACACATAGACAATACTTAGATGATAGACCAAGGAAGGGAGCGGTGCAACGAGAGGGATTCTATTGGAGGAACATGGTATACATGCTCTATGGTCTCTGGTATTCAGCAGCAGAGAGCTTTGTGCATTTTCCAAGAATTCTTTGAAGTTGGCGAAAAATGCAAACGCCTTTAAAAATACGATTACGAATACACTGCACCAAATATCATATTAAATATATATTTTCTGCTCAGATAAAAATAATTTTGAAATCTTTTCGAAAATCAAAGTTGCCTAAGTCAATTGGAGATGAGTTAGATCAACAAGTTCAAGTCTTTTTAAGTCAGTTTCTACTTCAAATCAAAAGTGCTTAAATCAAACAGAGGAAAGCAATAAACACTTGCTTATGGCAAGCCTTGAGGAAAATTGTTGGGAAAAATACATACGGAATTTCTGTTGATTTTTCCACTAGCTAAAATGCTAAAATATTTATTTTGCCATCGCTATTGCTCTTGTAGTATTAATAATTATAGTATTATTTGCATGCAAATTGATTATTATTAATATTAATAAGTAAATAAATTAATTCAACAATATTTAATATTCAAAGTTCAAACTTCAATCGATTTCAATCAAAGCGAAAGTCAACTTTAAACTTTCACAGCTTGATTTACACACGTGTGTGCAAAACAAAGGCATTCAATTTATCGCAGTGTAGATGGCAAAATTGTTGCTAACAGCATTTGGTTAATTTGACTAATATACGTCAACTCTTATGCCGAGTAGGTTTTAACGCGGTCGCAGACGCGATTTCGCATAATGAAATGGTAACGTCAACGCTCTTGCCTCGTTTTTAGTGGCAACAGCCTCCGCCTCCGCCTCTGCCTCTGCCTTCGCCTGCCTGCCTCTGCCCCAGCCCCAGTCCCAGCCTCGTCTCGCGACTTCATCTTCTTTGCGGCTATTACGTGGCTCATATTGGCCCATTGATAGCTGCTCGCATTGGACGCTGGCTGCTGTTGGCTTCACTTCGTTGGTTGGTTGGCTGGTTGGCTGGCTGGTTGGCTGGCTGGCTGGCTGGCTGGCTGGCTGGCTGGCTGGCTGGTTGGTTAGTTAGTTGTCAATTCGCGGTTACCACATGCATATTGGCTTATTTGCATATAGTATAAAGTGCATACTGAAGAATGGTTGTGTGTGTGTGTGTGTGTATACATCAAATTAATGTAAGTTATCGAATCCATGCGAAATATATGCATTCGGCGACCGATGGACTCCTCACTGGCAACATTTTAGTTGCGGTTGCTCTTGCTGTTACTGTTGCTGATGCATTTGGCCTTTATTTTTTTATTTTTACTCTTTTCTGTTTCGCCGATGTTGACCAGGCCCAAACAATAATTGTGGTATTGATGCCGACAACGTCTGAGTACTCTGGCCCCAACTGCAAAAGGCGTTCAGTTAACGCCGTGTTGCACCTATAAAATGTCTAATTAATGCACAACGAATTCGTGCCGCTTTTATGTTGCTTGTGTGTGTGTGTGTGTTGGTCTGGCAGATTTTTGTTGCAGTTCGTTATATTATCGATAACCAATCTATAGCGTTAAGTGTGCAAATGCGTTCATTACCATTCATCATAGCCCAATCTTTTTAATAGACCTAGCAAATCCTGACTGAAGCATTTCAAACTAGCATTATATTTTTAACTGTGAACAATTCCTATTTCGGGAAGTTATCGATTTAAATTTGGAAAAGGAACAAGCAAAGATTTAAGTCTTCATTTTACATAATAGTAATTAATTCTTATCTTTTAACCATACAAAATGAACTATCTGAACAATTCTTACTTCGGAAAGTTTAAGATCTTACTTTAGAAAAGTACCAGCAACGATTTATGTCTTGGAATATCATTATTTTTTAGATTGCATATCTGTATATCTTATCATTAATTAGCTTATGTTCTAAATTTGATTTTTAGAAAAGTACAAGCAAAGATTATGATTATTCAAATTAAACATTTTACATATCCTCATATCTTGTCTCGCTCTGACCAATACTTATTTCGGAAAGTGCTAAATTTGCATTTAGAAAAGTACAAGCAAAGATTCAAGTCTTGGGTTTCCATGATTTATATTCATATTGAAAATGTTGCATATCTTTATGGACAGTTGAAGCGAAGGTCTATCTATATGTTGGGGTCACAGCTTAATACCTGTAAGCAATTATGTACAACTGTCGCATATATTATTGTGTACGATAAGCTGTACTAGTTTCAAGTGAGTAATTTCAGTGTGGTAGGAAAAAAACACAGTCGCTAATGATGGCCAAGTATCTCGTTTCTAAAAAACAAAACAAAAATATAAAAATACAAATTTAAAAAAAGAAAAAAGACGAAACTGTGTCGCAAGCCCAGAGAGTGGAGTAGAGTAGAGTGGAGTGGATTTGAGTGGAGCAGATATGTGGCATTTAGTCGCACACCTACAAGCTAGTTCCATTAATTTGGCCTTTGCCAGCATTGATAAGGGCGGTAGTTGTGTTATCGGCTTAACATTTACCGAAGCACTTTCATACGAAAGCCGAAAAGACATTAAATCGCAATTAGACCTGCCGCAGAAGTTCCGCAAAAGTCTCGGGGTGCAACAGCAATAGCAATAGCGGCAACAACAACAACTATATGTGTATTATAGGTAATACTTGGAGATACGATATACATGTGTACTCACATTGTATAGTTGGAGAGATACGAGAGATAGTCGCATGAGCACAGGTATGACTTGGTCATGGGTCCGGGTCCGGGTCCGGGTCTGGGACCGAGCACCGAGCACGGGCACGGGCACGGGCCCCGCTCATTGCAATTTACTTTAATAGCTTTCAATGCACCACAAAAAGACGACAACAATGCCAAATAGATGCGGGGCAACAAAGAGCCGACTGGGTTGGGGTTGGGGCAGAGGACGGGGGGCGGGGCGACGGGGTGTGTTGACTATCTAACTGCAAATTGTGTTCATAGTAGTTCGTAAATGTAAAATATTCAATTTATTTGCCGCTGACAGTTTTTATCACTAATTAGTTGACATTATTCTCGATAGACGCTGCTGCAAAAATCATGTATATTAATTTATTATCATTGCATTTTACCACAAATGTCATTTAGCTAATTTCGGTCGCTTGCTGCTGCTTGCTGCTGTTGTTGTTGTTGTTGTTGTAACAAGTTGATATGTACAACAATTGACATTGTTGCATTGACAAATTGTCGGAAGCACTCAGGTCAGTTTGTAGATTGTTGCTGTTGCTGCCGTCGGCAACTCAAATACTCAAATCATAAATGCGATTCGATTGCGGCCTGAGCAATGAAGGGAGAGTGAGTCGAGGCTGCTTGCCGCATGTGCAACATGCCGTGCTAATTTAAAACAAAAGGACGATCCGTTGCGGCCACTGGAAATCCATAATGTGACAAAGCGAGCCAAGCTGTGAAGGGCGCAGCATGCAAACAGGATCAGCTAACTACCAGAGGCAGGAGGCGGCACAGTTCTGCCACACACACACACAGGCTGCCACGCAGGCAACCGTTTATTGTGTGAAGGATTAAGATTATCTAGCAGGCATATGCATGCATCTATCCATCTATCTATCCATCCATCTATCTATCTTCTGAGTAGCTCTCGCTCGCACTCTCTGCTGCCGGCTTAGGTTTCACAGCAACAGCAATAATTGTTTGCTGGTTTCTGGTTTTAGCTTGAATTGTAAAGCAGATATTCCTAATGTTCTTATGATTCAAGTGCTCGTTGGGCGTGCTGGCGTCTTAAGTTTATTAACATCCTATTTTCG